TCTGTGATGCATATTATTTATACATGTCTCAGCCAGCTTCCTTTTAGGTCCTGACAGTAGGGGGTTCTAGAAGGATGCTGAAAGGGATAAGAAGGGGAGAAGGGACTTCATCATCCCCCCATCAGATCATTTCAGAAAGGATAATTTACTCCAGGTTCCAGCTTCACCCAGCACACCCAAAACCTACGTCACTGAGCTGCCTTAAAGATACCAGTGCCGGGTTGGTAATGCACTCAGAAGTATGAAATCAAATGCATGGGACCCTCCACACCAAGCTCTTAGTTCTGCAAAGCCCAAGCTCCTTCCTTTCATTCCCTAAGTTCCACCTGGTTCTCAGACAGGTTTATCTCTTATAGAGATCTTACATATAATTCAAAATCAGTATTTCTGATATGAATTCCTCTTTCATTGTGTAACTAAAACGTAACTATGAAATTCTTTATATTCACTTTGAAATCTATGTACGTATGCACTGCCATACCAGAAGTAGAATATATAGCCCCTGCAATTTTTAACCCATCGAAAGTAGCACAATAACCCTACCTAATTTTGATTATTACCAAACTACAAAATAAAATGGATCACAGATCCATTTAAAGTTTTTACCAAAGAAAAACATCATACCTGTACAGAATTGGTTGTTGATATCCCAAATGCCTGTCTCCCATGGCATTAAATCCAAACCAAAATCAAGATTATCAAAATTGTTTTCCTGTAGGTTTCAAATCAGCAAAACAATATTAGAAAAATAAAATAGGTATAACTAGAAATCAAACTATCAGACACAATTTGTCATAACTAATATAATAATTGCTATTCACCATCTGCGAAAAATAATTTTCTAAGTTGTTCAAGTCATCTTGAGGCTGCTTCTTGGTAAGCCTAGAGATACACCAATTCAGTCATCTGAGGCACAGCAGGAACAGTGAGGAGGGAAGGAGCGGATTCAACATCTCAAAGATTCAGCTGGTCTCATTCTCTTCAGTAGGAACACACCATACAAGAGTCACACAATGTATCTTTTCTCATAAGGAAGATACAGCAAAATTATTTTTCCACTGCCATTAAGGAAAACAAGTCAAAGCAAAGGCCTATTTATAACATCATCTCTATATACAATGAAAAGAATATAAATGTATCCAAGACATGCAGAGATCGTAAAGAGCCTTTAACTGAACCTTCAAATATACTACATATATTACAATGGCTGTAAGGAAGAGATCCCTAGGACAATGGGTAATTTTCTTCTTTTTTCTACTGTTCTGTACTTTTCAAATTTCTTAACGTTTTTTAGTCCTAGAAGACAAAACTAAGTTTCTTAAATTTGGGTCAACAAACCTCTTAAAGGGACTTTTAGTTTCTTTTCATTTAGAGGGTACATTTTTTACTTAAATATAAGCAGATTTTGGGTTAACTGGATGACCATCTTACACGACATAGATAAATAAGGAACTGTTATTTGATTTCGGAGCCCTCATATGAGTTTGGGATCAAGACAGTACCAACTACTACTATGTTAAGTGTCTGGGGTTACAGAGACAAGAACAGAAGTAAGCTTAATATATACACAATTCAACAAAGTCTAAAGGCAGTCAGTATAAACTTAACGTGATAATAAAATAGCAACAACAGAGAAAGTAAGCCTCAGGCAAAGAGTAAAGATTAATCTGGTAATTATTGACCATCATTTGGTAATAATTTCTAGAATAATAATATCATTCCAAAATGACTATTATGTGGTTTACTTTTATTGAGAATGTAAGAGAAGGAGAGAAGAGAAACTTTTCTCACCATACCATCCCTTCACTGAATTGGGACAAGTTATAAAAAGACAATGTGTAGAAGTTCACATGAAAAAAAATACTACTTAAATCATGAGAAAAAACACTTTTTAAATCAATTTCCTTTTCTTTTTCTCTTATTTGAATCTACACATCAAAAATTCAGCAGCCTTACATTTGCAGCAACCACAAAAAGTCCTTAAACTTTCATAGGCTAAGTAAATTGAGCAATGAGGCTTGCCTGAGTACAATACATTTTAGTATGCACAGTCATGACCTACTTCAAGGATGCTTCTCAGTCTTCAGCCAAAACAGTCAAGTACATTTTACAGCATAATAATTTTACCTGGTTAGGAAGTTAGCCCATTTTATGTAAATTGAAGCATACTGGTACTCATATGCTCTGGCTCTACAGTGACTTCTCATGGGAAACTACTACCATGTGAAAGAAGAATGACCATTTTAAAGTGAGAGAGAAACCATCTAATCCAATCCCTTCATCTTATACTAGAAAAACTAAGGAACTGAAAGATTGAGTGACTTGCATCAGGTAAGAGAGTGTTAGTTATAAAACCAAGACCACATTTCCCTAAATCTTTCAAATTCACTAGACTATGTCTTGACGGTTTCAGGCTGTAGAGATTGTAAAAGAGCAGCAGTTGTAGTAAAATAAGCCAGGCAGAGAAAGACAAAGACCTTATGACTTCACTTATTTGTGGAATATAAAAACAAAGCAAAACAGAAGGAACAAAACAGCAGCAGACTCGTAGGCACTGAGAAGTGAGTGGTTACCAAGGAAAAGGGGTTGGGTCAGGTGGGTGGGAAGGATGAGGGGGATAAAAGGGCACAGAAATTCTCAATCATAATATACGTTGGTCACGGGGATGGAAGTGCAGCACGGAGAATAGTCAGTGGCTCTGTAACACCTTCCTATGTTGACAGACAGGAACCGCACTAATGGGGGTGAGGATTTAACAATATGGCTAATTGCTGAACCACTGTGTTGTATTTGAAACCAATGATTCTTCAATAGAGTAGCAGTTACTTAGGCAACCATTATTAAAAGTTAATTTAATCAACAGACCACTTCTAAAGCATCTCACAAAGTAAACAAAAAACCATTTAAATCTCATGTACTGATTAAAAAAAGTAAGTGTTTTTACACTCTTCTACTGACTCTTAAGAAAACAAGTGCCAAGTTACTCTTTGAGAGAATGTCTGAGAAACTCACTAAGCAAGCATTACATATTTTTATGCTCAGGTTAATAAGGGCATAAAAAATAAGTGGTAAATATTCAACCTGATTGATGCACATATAAAATTAAATTACTCCGTTCACTTGAATTACTTACCAAGTGAAACAGCACCTCATCCATTAAAGAGTAAGACAAAATAAAAGTTCTGTAGGCCAATGTACTATGGTACTAATACATATCCAGGAAAGTACTAATACATAATACATACTACATATTACATGTGTAGTATGTAATATGTAATACATAATACAGTACTAGTACATAATCCAGAAAAAAAAATCTATATTTTTAAGAACTCAAAAGTGCTACAATAATTGCTTTATAAAAAGTCTAACAGAATAACTCAAAGGCCAAAAGTAAGGACATAAAGTACTAAGTTCCCAGAGCTTTCTACACTAAGGATATGTAAGTTTTAAAAAGCAAGTTAATAAACTCTACTGGGCTGCACCCATGACTCACACACACGCCTTTACATCACTGTTTCCCTTATGCATGCAGCACAGTTCCCTTGTACAAGGGACAAGAAGTAGGCAGTTCAGTGACTTTTCAATGGTCTCCCACACATGTGGCCAAAGGCAGATTTAGGATGTAAGTGTTCTCACATCAAACCCAATTCAACTTCTACAATACTAAATTTACTGACTAAAAGATGGCTGCTTTCATACTTAAAGCTACAAGTTACTTAAATTTAAATAACTAGCCTAAACCTGTTATTCTGAAACCTTCTTGTAGAAATTAAGGTAAAGATTAAATACCATATTGTTCAGTGTTTCTTCTCTACTAAATACTTACATAAGTTTCATGTGCTGCATCCAACTGCAGGTCATCAGTGTCTGTGAAATAGCCAAGTTCAGCAAACAGAGCAGAATCTTTAGACAAAAGGAAAGAATAGGAAGTAACGTCAATTCAATGTTTTGACAGAAGAATAAGCCCTGATAAATTCTAGCAGTGCGAATGGCAACAAATGCAAAGCTGGTTTCCAATTTATATGTGGCTTCACATATAATTATCTATGGACGCAATTCTTAGACATAAAGAAAACAGTTTTATGTCGTATCATATTAGACTAATTGGTAGTGACTTTTGCAACACTACTACTGCAAGTTCTGAGGCTGTATCTGGGCTCAGCCTAAGGTACTGGAGTTGATCAGCAGTGAAGAGAGGAGAGTGTGGCAGAACATGTGTCAACATACTTGCCATCTATGCCTTAAGGATACAACCAATTTTCTATATAAACAATAAAGGATTCATTCAATCTAAACTTTTAAATTTATTTTAGCACAACTAACTATATCCCAATTTCTTAATAATATTTCATTATCAAAGGAATTTATGGACACAGGAAATATCTTCAATGAACTACGTTGAACCTTTCCATAGAAAAAGATCAAGATGCTGATGAGGCCAAAGATGGCTGACTATTGTACAATCTGTAAAGTGTCTCTTTTCTCTAACATTTTCAGAACTTAAAGAACTTTGATGATTTCCAAATCTTGGTTTACCTTTGTACTATCATGCCACTGAAACTGCTCTCGTGGTGTTACTTAACATATATAGGAACTACACTGCCAGTCTATCATTAACTCGGTCAATGACAGAAACAGTTCATCAACCTAAAACAAAATAAAACGCAGCAAAATATTTTGTGTGCAGTAATAATGAAAGGTTATTCACACAACTCTCAAAAAAAGGATTACCTTAAACTTAGCTATGGGGCAAAAAAACATGTTAAGTAGATAACTGTGGCTTATGTACCCTATGCATAGGCTGAAACTCCTTGAAAGAGTTCTCTATACCTGCGGTGTCACATCTCTGTTCTCCAATTTTTTCTTGAACCTACTCAATCAAGCTCCCCTCCCATACATATACTAACAGGTATTAATGTCACTGATAACAGCTCTATTGTAAAACTCAATGGCATATTCATGGTCCTCATCTTACTTGACCCAAGAGAAGCATCCAAATTGGCTAGGCAGCAGCAAAACTGTCACTATTTGCAGATGACAGGATAGTATATACAGAAAACTGCAAGATTTCACCAAAAAGCTGTTAGAATAAATGAATTCAGTGAAGCTGCAGGATACACAATCAATACAAAGAAATCTGTTGTGTTTCTATATACTAAAAATGAACAAGCAGAAAGAGAAAGAAATTCCCAATCCCATTCACAACAGCATCAAAAAGAATAACATACCTAGTAACGAATTTTACCAAGGAGTTGAAAGACCTGTACTCTGAAAGCTGTAAGACAGTGATGAAAGAAACTGAAGACAACATAAATAAATGGAAAGATAGACCAAGCTCATGGATAAGAATTAATAGTTAATCTACCTACAGATTCAATGCAATCCCTATCAAAATACCAATGGTCTTATATACAGAACTAGAATAAATAATCCTAAAATTTGTATGGAACCACAAAAACCCCAAACAGCCAAAGCAATCTTGAGAAAAAAGAACAAAATGAGAGGTATGACACTCCCTGGTTTCAAACCATACTATAGGGCTATAATAATCACAACAGTATGGCACCAGCACCAGGACAGACACAGATAGAACAGAGCGGGATCCAACCAAGAGAGAAGCTCTTCTCAGGCTTTCGGTGAGGGCTTCAGCGCAGAGCGTGACTAAGTTATTGGCCATTGGCTGATTCAGCCTCCAGCCCCCTTGGGTGGAGTCCAAAAGTCTCTCATAACATGACAAAACACCCATTTCACCTTCAAGACTGCAGTGTTTTCAGGAACTGTGGATGAAGACCAAATATACCTGAGAAATATATATTTGGTCATATGAGTAGCCAAGTATGTATTTCTTATGGCTCATTATATCACAGCCACTATTAAGACAGACAGCAAAATTTTAATGGTGTCTGAATTGGACAGTAATGTATATCAATGTTTATTTCCTGAGTGGAAGGGGTGAATGGCAGTAACAAGAGTATCCTTTTTTAGGGAGTAGGAGATATGTACTGCAGCATTTAAGGGTAATGGTTCAACACATCCCTCTTTCTCTTTCTAAAGGAAGAAAAACAAATGGAACACATGCAGAACAATTTAACAGGAACTCTGTAAGAGGCATGCAATAGTTCTTTGTACACTTCTTACAACTTTTCTGTAGGTTTAAAAGTATTTCAAAATTAAAAATTTAAATTAAAAAGCACACATGTATATATATGCATATGGGCACGGATGGATGGATGGATGTGTATATATCCGTAATCCAACCACTTCCACCATCTCCACTCTACCATTATAATTCTCTTGGATCACTACTAGCTATTTTCACAATGCGAGTAAGTATATAATGCAAGAAAATGAGACAGAACTCTGGTACTGGCTTTGGACTGTAGGTATTAGAATGAATTCATGCTTTTTAAAAATGTTTCCTGGTTCTTAGGAGATATGTGATGAAGTGATCAGAGTTTCATACTATCTGTAGCCTACTTTCATATGTTGAAAGAAGAGGGAACTGTGGGTAATACTGAGAGAAAAATTAAGTATAGCAGGATGTTAACAGTTGGTAAATCTAGATGAGGGAAATACAGATCATCACTGTACTGATTTTTTAATTTTCCTGTGGTTTCTGGGCACTTAAACTGAGTGGGTTAACATTTGTATATTTACAGAATATCCCCGAAGGATCTGTAATAAAGTTGGTGGTGCTGGTGAACCTCTAAAGTGTCTCTAAAATCTCTTGCTTACTCCTATATCCTTCCTACCAGCCCCACACTACCAATATTCAAATTTGCCTTAACAGTAGTAAACTTTGGTAGCAATTATTTTTAAGTTTTCCCACCTGACCTCTACCTTGACCATTTATTTGTTCATTTACTTCTTATAGGTTTAATAAGATGAGAAATGGCTAGTGGGTTAACAAAATGGCTATCAGTGGTGGTGACCTTAGAAAGAGCAGTTTGGCAGAGTGGTGGAGCCTGGCTGCTGTGAATTCAAGAGACAATGAGAGAAGGAAACTGATGTCCGTGAACATGGTTTTTACTGTTTTTTTTGTTTTAAGAATTCTGCCATAAAATGAAGAGAAACACAGTAAGAGCCAGAGAAGTAACAACTAAGGAAAATGTTGGGGAGGGGGGTTTAGATAGGAGCAGCAATTACATGTTTGTTGACTGATACAAGTGATCCAGGAGAAAGGGCAAATGATGATGCAGAAAACGGGAGGAAGAGCTTGAGCGATACCCTCCAATAAAGTCGGAGGGCTCTACAGCCCACATGGAAGGGACGGGCTTGAGCTGGGAGCCAGCGGCCATTCCTTCCCTGCCACAGAAGGGAAGACAAATATGCTGGCAGGTGGGGAGATGGGTAGTGGGAGATGGGGGAAGTTCTCTTAGGATTCAAAGGATGGGGGAGGTGGTGTTGGAGGTTTGAACAGAAAAGAAACTTGTAAAAACAATCATCAGAATGGGGGATAGGGGACCAGGGAAATACCATGGCCAGAGAACACTTAAGGGCCTATTTCAGGTTACTATCATAAATTTAAAGTGAGACCAATCAGCATGGTGGAATTTTTTTACAGCCACATTCAGCTGCATGAGGGCAGCCATGGAGTAGGCAGAGTTGAATTTAACCAAGGTTGCAGTTTATCTAAAAGAGAACTACAAAACATGAGAAGCAGTAAGTGAGGGAATGGTTACAATGACTGTCTATGGAATGAAAGGGGAGGTGCTGACACAAAGGGGATGAGGGGCCGAGAAAAGATGACAGAATCTCAGGGTTGAAGGTACTGTTGGAATATGAAAGGGAGTGAGCTGGCAAGACGGGAAGCGGTGGTCACAGGATGTTTGAAACTGAGATAGTGTTACTGGTAATGGGTAATGACAAGGTTTACACTTATGGTCAGGGAGTAAATGGCTGAGACAGGATCTAGAAGGCAAGACCACTGGTGGAAAAAAGGCCCAGGAAATGAGAGGGTTATCTCAAGTATCTGGTATCACCCAGGAATCATGACAGAAGGAGTGTTGGTAGTAAACCAGATGCTAAAATTTTTCAAACACTGAGGGAGAATGACTGAGGAATTGGCAGATGACTATTAACAGGGACAGGCAGAGCACAGCACCTAAGGCTGGAGGTACCGGAGGGAGAAGGGCGAGGACGAAGCAGGCGGGGCAGGACAGCACCAAGTAGGTCTGTGCCGTATGGGGAAGGAACGAACAGCTCTTCCTGGATTCCAGTCCCATGACTTGCGACAAAGCAGGATGCAGACCCCCTCCATCCGGAAGGAGGAGACGTCTGGCTGTCCATCACCCGACCCTGAGCCAATATAAATTCCCCACATACCCCTAGCGCAGCCCACTTCCCCCTCTCTTCCCTGTTCTCTTACCCCTCCTGGGTGCGACTCCCCCAGCCCGCGTCCCTGCAGACTGGTTAACCTCGCCCGGGAATTGCGCTCAAATAAACTACCTGGCCCTTTGTTGCCTCTCGTCGCCTGCTTATTTCCGCTAGAATTTATCTTACAAGCATATTGGGACAATGTGAGATTTAAACCTAGATGTTTTTAGGGAGGATGGAAGGAGAATGATTTAAAAGCAGCAGTGAAAAACAAGGAAGACATCTATGCCACCTTCGAAGGGCTGGTAAAAAGGTTTTGAGAATGAAAATAGCCACCATTCGCCAACGCTTTAGGGAAAGCAGTGTCATCAGGAGAATTGGTGCAAGAAGGCAAACAGAACTTTCTCATACAAGACTAAAGACATGAAAGAAACCACAGTAGCAGACAGAAGCTTCTGATCTTGGTACCTATTATCTTTCATGTGGCAAAAAAAGTGTCTTTTGCACAAATGTGAAGAGAAGAGAGGAAAGAAGAATGAGCATATATACAGGTGAAATTTGAGCATCTGAAAGATGCTGTGTATCATATGTTATCAGGCAACTGCAAAGTATAAACAATGAGACTGCACTTCACACCTATAAGCACGGCTCAAATCCAAAACACTGGCAACACCAAGAGCTGCGGAGGACTTGGAGCAACGGCAAATTCATTCACTGCTGGTATGAATGCAAGACAGTACAGCCACTTTGGAAGACAATTTAATTTTCTTATTGAACTAAACATACTTTTACCATGAAATCCAGCAATTGTGGTTCCTGGTATTTATTTACCCAAATGTGTGAAAACTTAAGTCCACACAAAAAGCTGCACATGAATATTTATAGCAGCTTTATAGTCACCAACATTTGAAAGTAACACAGATGCCCTTTAGTAAGATAAAATGTGTGCTATGGACTGAGCTGTGTACCCCCTCAATTTATATGCTGAAGCCTTAACCCCAATATGACTACATCAGGAGACTGGGTGGTCTTCAGGAGGTAATCAAGGTTAAATGACAATGTAAGAATGGGGCCCTAATCTGACAGGACTGTGGCCTCATATGAAGAGCAAGAGATATCTCTCTCCTCCCCTGCTTCTACCTACCTTTTCTCCTCTCCACTCCCCCTCTCCCTTTCTCCTCCTACCCAAGGACACAGCAAGAAAGTAGCCATCCACAAGCCAGGAGGAAAGCCCCCACCAGAACCTGACTATGCTGGCACTTGACCTCAGACTTCCAGCCTCCAGAACTGTCAGAAAATAAATGTCTATTGTTTCAGCCACCCAGTGTATGGCATTTTGCTATGGCAGACTGGGAAACTAATATACGCTGTGGTACAGCCATACAAACAATGTGACATTATTCAGTATGAAAAATAAATAACCTATGAAGCTACGAAAAGTCATAGAAGGACCTTAAATGCGTATTACTAGGTGAAAGAAGCCAACCTGAAAATGCTACATACTGTACGACTCCAACTATAGGGCATTCTGGGAAAAGGCAAAACAAGGGAAACAGTGAAAAAGAACAGTGGTTGCTGGGGGCTCAGGAGGAGGGAGGGAGAGAACACGCGGAGCACAGGGGCTTTTAGGACAGTGAAACTACTCTGTATGACACTGTAAAGATAGATACATGAACACTAGACATACGTCAAAACCCACAGAATACAGCACAAAGTGAACCTTAAAGTAACCTGTGATCTTTAATGGTACTAGTCATCAATACTAGCTCATCAACTGTAATAAATGTACTGTACTAATGCAAGAGGTTACCTACAGGGGAAAGCTGGGAGGATGGTTGGTGGGAGTACAGAATCCTGTGTACTGTCTGCTCCACTATTCTGTATATTTAAATGTAAATTGGGGAAGAGGAAGTCCTGGGGCAAAATACCTCTAAAACCAAAATTAGTCAAAGGAAGAAATAAAGTTTAAAACCCATTTATTGCTTACAAAACTGCACTTCGGGATGTCTCTTTCCTGCTCCAGCAGAAGCAAAACCAGCCCTCCCCCCTCACCTCCCACATACAGATAAGCCCTTTGTTGCCCAGGTAGTTACCCCTTGATATGGACATGAACTTCTCTCCACCCCTGAAGAATGTCTATTGATATGCAAATGCACTAAAGTCACGCTTCTCTCCACCCCTGAACTGTTGATATGCAGATGTACTAAAGCCAGGCAAGATATTCTGGAAATATTACTTTTACCCACACTAAAACTGTACTAAAAAAAGTCTATTAAGCATTAAATTTACATAATTATGTGAAATTAAAATTCCAATATCCTTAAATAAAATTGTATGGGAATACCATCATGCTCATTTACATGCTGTTTACATTGTCTATGGCTGCTTTTGCACAACAGCAGAGCTGAGTAGGTGCAACAGAGACCACATGACCGCAAAGCCTAAAATATTTACTATCTGGACCTGTACAGAAAATGTTTGTGCACCCCTGCTCTAAATTTCATTACCCAAGCTAAAGGGAAAAAGCACATCCCATCATAGGCTGTTCTGTGCTGATCACTTTATTTAAGTTGCTCAAAGTTGTCAGAGTCTGCTCTAAGAAGTATGGATTACATAATCTGATTTTTTAAATTTAACTTGGACAGCTTCTTAAAAAAATAAAAAAAAAAAAATTACAAAAATTACAAAAAAAAAAAAGTAAATCCATGAACTACTTGAATAGTAAAAACAGCAACTCCCAGAGAAAGAATCCATATTCTATTGAGAAACACTAGCAGACAGTAATAGTGTTCACTGCCTACAAAATCTATTCTACTTATTGAACACCTACGCAATCAGAATTAAGCTCCACTGAGAAAAGATGGTTAGTCATGAAAAAGACTGTTAACCATTTGAAAGGGAAGCCGGGGAAACAATGGGAAATGGACACATTCAGGAATGGGCAGGTCAGGATTCCGGAGCTGAGACAGGAAGTGACTACAAAGAACTGAAACCTCTGTTAAAGGATATCAGGACTAGGAGTCAATTGATTAAATTAGTTAGGAAAATGCAGCCTGGGCCATAAAAGGCAAAATATAATAGTGCTATCAGGAAGTGTCCCACAGCTAGTTTAAGAAATATCATGTTGACTAGCTGAGAAAACAAATCATAACTACCTGATATACTTAAGTAGATTTGTTAATAATGAGGGGGATCTTGGGAAAAATGAAATTTGTAGAAATAATTTAGGAAAGCATTACAGAATAATGACTCCAGCTTTGGAGGTAGACAAACCTGACTCTGATGCTCATTCTGCCACTCACTAGCTATAAGACTCCAAGCATTCAGTCTCTCTCAGCCTCAGTTTTCTCATCTGTAAAAGAACAGTACCTCACTGGACTGTTTGGAGGATTAAATGAGATAATGCATGTAAGAACTTAGTAGGATACAACTAATACTTCTTTAAAAATAATTATTTATTACAATATATTACTATTAAGAATGACAAAGTGCTAAATGAATGATAATTGTTACTGTTACTCTATTTGCCTTTGGAAAAATCCTCTTGGAAAAGTCTAAAATTTTTCCAACAACTCCTAGAAAATATACCCACAGATCTCTAAGGGTATTACAATTTAAGAGAGGTTCTGTCCCTGGAAAATCAAATGAGGACTTGAACAAATGGAATCGAGATAACACTCTTGCTACTGAGAATGGTGGTCCAAGGGGGAAAGATGAAGATCAGTCTGGGTTCCCCCCAAATTCCAAAGTAGATTAACAGCATAGGCTCACTACAGCGCCAACGCAGGGACCTATGCAATCTGAAATTCACACTAAAGCCCAAGAACAGCGTTAGTGTTGTGTCTCGCAAACAAGAGGGGAATAAAAGATCCCTCTAAACCCTGAGATAACAAAACTTCTGTACTCTCATTCCCACTTCATTCCATTTCATCCCCCCTGACCACAAACCCAAACAAAACATCCGAAACAAGAAAACGTAGAGCTGTATATGCAGCGCAGTCAGAATTATATCCGTTTATTAAATATTAGTCCTAGGTAATCAGGGAGGTCAGGCTTGGGTGTTTTGACTTTCTGCTCAGGTGGACTTCAGCCTAGACCAATAGGGGAAGCTGAGAAATGGAGATTTTTATGTGTGGCCACGACCTCTCACACAAACAAAAACACACACACCAACACGCTCCACGGCCATCACCGCCCACATCCCGCACCTAATAGCTTGCAGCCTTTTCGGTGGTCACAGCCATCCTGCCCTATACTTCTTAATCACGTCGTCTTCGCCCCACAGAATGACCACCGGGTACTTTCCCAAAGAGAAACAGTGAAAAACGATAGTGATCCCAACCAGGCAACATTTTACGCTCGCCTTTGCCAGGACAGAAACCGACACGCTCTGCTACTTCCAGGTCCCGGCACGGAAACGACGAGGGGACTCGCTCCCGGGGCAGGGTTCGTCCACACCTGTCATCACAAGGGGGCGGAAGCAGCGAGGAAGAAGCCGGGGGCCACCCTTGGCACATTCCCAGATCCTACTCACCCCAGTCTTCACCCGGTCGGTGAGGGAGTCCCGGACTAAAAGGGGACTCCATGGTGCCGGTAGCACCAGCCGGCTCCTCCGAAACACACGGTCCTCTGACTAATCTGGGACGGCGGCGATGGGCGGACAAAATACTCCGCAACGCTGACGCGACGGTGGCCGGGTGAAGACAAACTGCTTCTCCTGCACGTCAGCGAAAACGGATTCAACAGATCCCTGTGTAAGCATTTCTCTCTTGGCGTTTTCTGCACTTTCTGTCCCGCTATTTCAAGAGTGAAAAAAAGAAGACACATAAACACTACTTCGGTTAAACAAAATGTATTAATTGTATTAAAA